GCACTTTAAGACCCTACACAGCCATTTAAAGAATGACATGGCAGAAATGATGTAGAAAAAGCTGTTTAAAACAAATGCTTCTTACCACCTATGGTTTTAAATATCTGAAACAGACAAAGATAAAGTAAAATAATTTTGTCTAAATAAGCAGTAGCTTCTCAGAAATATCTAAATTGTCACTTCGATGTAGTTTAAATTTTTTAAAGTCCGTCACAAGAAGTATTTGTAAGCATAAAAAAAAAGTATGCAACAGCAGCTCCACTCGTTTCTTTCGTTTCCTTACTTACATCTAGCTGAACTGGGTCAGCGACGAAGCCGTTCCAAATTTTCGTACAAATTGTTCCATAATTAGCAAGCTCAGTTTACTGCCTGTCTTAGTGAAAGCATCTGTTTCAACGCAAAATTTACCTCGCACACTTACATAGGTTTGTTGGTGCTTGATGTGCAGTGCAATCTGCGCCGACGTGGAGTTTCTCGGAGAGTTCTTCGTAGAAAGGCGCAGTCTCAAAGCACTCTTCGCCTTCCTCGGGTCAGAGAAGAAAAATGAAGCCATCAGATTAAAGCAGTTTAAAGGTTCCTTTATTATATCACTAAACAAATAACAAAAGTTTTCTTTGATAAAGTTGATTTTCAAAAAAATTTTTGAAAAGGTTTTTGCGTCACAGGTGGTCTTGTGTTATGTAATTGTACAGAATTTACTTCGCACCAAAGCAACAGTTTGACTTAGAAAATTTTTATTTTTCAGTGGTACAACAAGCTTTCGCTGATGTTTTGTTATTTGATTTTCTATGCTTTATGCGGCCCATGCATATCAAATTTTAGTAACTGCATTACCTCCTCCATTTCTGTCACACGTCTTAAAATAATGAAATAAGTGCTACGCGATATCCTTCTTCATGTTACTTCAAAAATCTTTTTCAAAACAAGGTCGTCGACTAGTGTGCTTTTAAATTCGTCAAGTTTTTCATAACCTCATCACTACTTTTATTCTTCTATTCGTGACGCACTTCAAATTTAGAACAAATTTTTTTAATTCTTAAGTTAAACACGCTACTGCATACTTCAGCGCCGCTTAAACCATAATTAGAAGTTTAGTTTACTAACGTACAGAATCACGGCTTTTTACATCATTTCATTTTATTCCATAATTGACGGAAACTTGTCAAATATCAACAAAGCGGTGAGGAAAGCGGTTTATTTTATTAGTTTTCAGAAATTATTGGCATTTCAAATGATTTTCGTTCACCTTCTTGTACCGTTTATTACAAATCAGATTTAATGAATAAATTCCAATTTTTATCACCTCGGTTTAGTATTTTCTAAACAGGATAGCATCATGACCTCAAAACTATTGCTACCTGTTCTACTGTTTTTGAAGAAGTTTGTTCGAAGTCGAATCTGATTTATGAATTTAGCGATTCTTATAGACAACGAAGCTGCTTATAGTTTGATTAGAGACTCTCAAACCAAAACTGTTTAATTAACTTAGAATGCTAATGAAGTTCGCTCTGTTAACCGTGGAAACAGCTTTTGATGTAAACTTATAGCGCGTAAAAACCTAATTTTTCTCTGCTGGTACGGTAAAAAAGCTTTTTCTAAATAGGTAATGCCTTCTTTGGTGACTTTTTCTGTTTAAATTAAAGGAACTTCTGAAAACATCTTACGGGCTAATTTTAGGTGCTTGGTAAAATTTTAGCTGTGATCTGAAAAAACATAGAGCAACCTAATCGTACATTACTGGCGATTCTGACTAAAAATAATGTAAAAATTTATTTATTTAAAATCATCAAATTTTACTACAAAAGATGTTAATAGAGTACCAGTCGTAAATTTATCATCAAAAAAAGTTAAGCAAAAGTACATATAAAAATCTAAATAAATTAAAAAGTTAATCTACAGTACAAAATCACAGTCTTCAAACAGCGTAAATAACAGCAAAAGAATTAATGTAATGATTTTGCCAAATTTATTCAAGGCAGCTTTTTACCGATCTGTCTCTTCATTGTTATTAGTTCACAATTCAATAATACTTTATTTTTATATTTATGAAGGTAATAACAGGTAAAATGCATTCTGTTTCAACACCACATTTTAACCAAATTTTGTGATTGAACAGATGTTTTCAATTGAACCAGGTGTGGAAATTTTGTTCTTCTGGTAACTTTTGATACTTGTATCCAAAACTGCTCGGCTGTACTTGACGAATGCCTTGAGCGCAAGGAGATAAAAAATTTCAAATCAGAGCTGTCTTCTGTTCGACATCTTCTAAATGCTTATATAAGAAAGTTTTCACTGTCTTTTTTTTTCTTTCATAATGTTAAAAAACTGCTGCTTTTTCTTTTTTCTTCTTTAAAGAGCCGGAAAACACTGGTAAATTTTTGATATTCGCTATTTGGTCTGGACTACTTCAGATATTACTTTTTTTTTTCAAATTTGTAAAGAGAATAACATAATACTTTGGCGATTTTAAACTGTATTGACGTCTGACGAAATAACATCTTCAAAAATTTCTTTTTTATATTTATTAAAAGAAAGAACATTTATTTCCCGAGCTCTTTTCTTCAGTATTGTATAATTCATTCATTTTTCTTCAAATGAATAAAAACAAAGAAAGGGTATATAAGAACAGTAAAAAAAAGAACTTCTAAAACGATCTGAATGCAATATAAAAATATTAATGTTAGTAACAACCAAAAACAATTTTTTTTTTATTTATTTAGGATAAAGAAAGGAATTTGAAAAACTTAACTGTTGCAAAAAAAAAATAATATTAATTAGATTAAATTTAACTTAAATTTTGTAAAACAAAAATTAATTTTACGTAACAAACTATTTATACGTATTACAATTATTTGGTGAGTTTTTTTGCTTTTTAGCCTAACCTGTGCTAAATAACAAAAGAAAAAAAAAAAGAAGAAAAAGAAAAAAATTTTTTTAATGTATTTTCTTTTATTTCTTTCATTACTGAACAACGATTTTTTGGCTATCAATCAACAAATGTTTTTAACTTCTCAAAAATGCTTTACAATATTTTTCTCTATCATAGTTTTTGTTTAAAAACTGTTGAAAAGTCGTAGTGTTTAGTAAAAAAAAGTGTTTAAAGGTATATTAAATGTGTTAAAAAAATAGTGATTTTCAAAAAATTATTATTGTTTATTCAAATTTGAAAAACTTTATTGCCTGTATTTTTTTCTGTCAATTACAGCAATACACAGCCGTCAAAGTCAACCAAAATAATATTTTCTGGTGAGTGTAGCTGATAACCCATTTTTGACAGTCCGCTTGAATATATGTGTTAAGCAAAAGTAAATCTTACGCTCAT